ATAAATATTACCCTTGCATCCTGCAATTTTATGGGGGTATATGTCATATTTAAACATGCAGTGAATATCTGAGATAAATGTACGGAAACCAATCCCGCCTCCATCTGCCGTGACCGGTTAAATAGTTTGCGAAAAGTCTTCCCAATGTTCCGGATCTCCCCTGTTACTCGCAGCTCACGCTCTCTATTGTTTGTTATTTGCCCAAGTGCGTGGTCCACTATCTTATTGTTAACCAGGTCTTCTATTTTACTCTGTTGGTCTATTGGAATTTTGCCTGTCGAGTTAACGGCATCGTAAACTGCATAGCAGAGATGGTCCCGGTGTCTTCTTCTGGCAACTTTGGCGTAAGATGGCATCCGTTTCCTTTTCCACTGTCTAGCTTCTCCTTCATCGTTTTTCGGTGCTCCACCATTTGCTCTTCTTCATTCTTTTTGGGATTTGATATAATGGTGTTGTTATTATCATCTGAGGATTCGGAGTCTGAGTCCTCACCTATATTTAACATATATGCTTCTCTTTCACCCCTATGTTTTTGGCAAGTTTTTCACGCATTGTCCGCCACGGAGGCCAAGGTACCCACCTCCGTAGTAGTTATGCTCACGATTGCAGACTCGCGAGTAGATGAACACTTGCCGCCGGTACTGGGTTATTTATCTTTTTATTTTTATTTTCCATGTTTGTCTTTTTAAAAATTTGTAACTTTAAAAATTAAAAAGTCGTGACAGTTGTGGTTAATATTTTCTTGGAATTACCCATATACATATGGTTGTGAAACTAATTTCTAAATTTACATAGGTTACAAATTTATCGTAAAAATTTCAATTAGTTAGTCATAATGCATTAAAATACGTTCATTATACCCTATACACTACTATTGGGTGGTGGATGTTTGTAACACCCCAAAATATTGGTCTTATACCCACCTTGATGTATAACAATTGTTTCAAACTCACCTTTTGAGTCGATCACCGTCTTCCGTCCGTCGGTGTGTCCATATAAACCATGTGCCTACGCACCATATTGGTCTCAATAATCATGATAATTTTATGGTCTATATTTCATCAAAATATTTTAAAAATTGCCTGCTTTATCTTAAGCACAAAATTTGCATGGACAGCCAGCCTGCTTTATCTTAAGCACAAAATTTGCATGGACAGCCAGCAAGCTGGACAGAGGGAAGGGCAGACGGACATGTCTCATACGACTAAGAAAGTGTAAGTCTAAGTTGATCGGTATACTTTAAGATGGGTGCAGTAGCAATATTTTTCTGCGTTACAATCATCAGCACAAACGCATAATACCCTCTCCACTATGGTGTTGTAGGGTATAAAAATCTTATAAATAACAACGAAAGTACTTCACATTCAACGTCTTCCGAATTGTGTAAACTATTATCTTATCTATAAAATGCATCTTGCTATCACTTACATAATTTTATTATTAAATCTATTCTTCTGTGTCATGGGTGACGATAACTCAACGAAATGTGCACAATCTTGTCCTATTTCTTTTGAGCCAGTTTGTGCATCTATTGAAAATAAGGAAAAAGTCCCATTAGATTGTACCTTTCCAAATAGTTGTTATTTGGATATTTACACGTGTACGATTGGCAAAAAAGGTAAATGGTAATTTTTTTTATTTGAACATTTTTATTTATTCTTTTGTGTTTTCTAAAGAATCGAAAAAAGATGCGAATATTTGCTTAGATGATCCTCCGGAATGTGAAGTTATTGTCATGAGTACATTTTCATTGTCGACTTAGAAAGTGCAAGTGTTATACATATTAAGGAGTTCGTATGAAGTTTTTGCTGAAAATGTGTGTGTTATTGTATAGTTAATCATTTATGATATCGGCAGAAATCTGAAATTGTGTTATATTTTAACGTCTAATAGAAGTATATATGTAAAAAAAGTATTTAGAAAATCTTATGTAACAAATTTGAAAACATTGAAGAACTCTAAATTTTGTATTAATACAAGAAAATGTATCGAATTTTATCGAAACTAAAGAGGTTAATGTTCATAATTTGACTTTTTGGTTTGAAATTGTTTAAAAATACCCAATTACATTTTAATTAAAGTGTAAGGCAAATAAGGTTTAAATCGGTATATCTCATAAACTAAGCAAGGATCTGCAAAAATTTTACACTTATGTTATATCACTGAAGTGATCTTGCTGAAATTTTCACGTATTTCCTCTATATCTGGCTACTTTTTATTTTGAAATTGGAAGAGGTGCCACGTCCTCTTCCTTAAATGTCGAATTGTTGTATTGAGAAAAAGTACAACTAGAGTCCTCAAATTTTGCATAGACACTTTTGACATCCATAAGAATATTTGCAGGAAAAATGGGCGGACTCGCAATAGGGGGTATGGCAACTACCATATTAATTAAATAACATTTTTGTATATCTAGGAAACACTTAAAGCTATTTTGAACAAACAAAGTTGTCGTCCATTTGATCATTTGTGTAATAAATTCGCGGATTATAAATGGGGGGCGTGGCACTTCCCATATATATAAAATAAAAAAATCTTATATCTGGGAAAGTAATACAATTCTATTCTAAAAGTTTGTACAGGCTACATTGAAATCCATATAAACAATTTAAAGGAAAAATGGGAGGACTAGAAATATGGGGCGTGGCACCTCTCATATGAATTAAATACCAAAATCTGAATATCTGGAAAATGCTTAAAGCTAGAATCCTTAAATTTTGCACAAACAATTTTGTCATCCATATGAACATTTTGGTAATAAATTAGCAATACAGGGCGTGGCACCTCTCATATGCAAAAATTCTAATATATTTATGTGGGATGTCATTGGAGCTAGAATCCTCAAATTTTACACTAACAACTTTGCCATCCATGTGAACATTTGGCGGACTAGCAATAAGGGGCATGGGGCCTCCTATATGAATTCAAATTCAGATATCTATGAATCTATAAAAGCTAGAACAGCAAAACCGTTCTATATATAATAAAAGAGTAGTCTTACTGACTAACTGATTCATCATCGCACAGCTGAACTTAGAATCATGAAATTTTGACAGTAGATGTGTTTTTGGTTATATATGTAGATCCACTAAGGAATTTTGGAAATTTTTACATTTAGGGGTCAAAAAAGGGATAAAACGGGTAAAACAGGTTTTCTTAATTATCTTACACAATATTAGTGATGCAATAAAAATTATAAATGCTCCTGTATCTACTCTTAAATTAAGCAGATGGGTCTCTGGTACTTTTTTTGAAATTCGTACTTTGAAAATGAAAATGTGTAACAAAGGTGATTTTGGTATCTTTTTTTGACCCTTTATAACTTTTTTTTGTAAATACTTTGAATATATCTCCCAAAATTAGGAGACACCTGTTTCGTACTTTTTTAAAATTCATTCCTTTTTGGTTTAAAAGGGAAAGAACTGTATTTTTAGTACTTTTTTTAGCACATTAAAAAACATTTCGATTTATTGAAGTATTCCTATTAAATTACGGACCAACTCTGTAATATTTGTTGAAATATTTGCTATTTCACTGGGAAAAAATGTACCAAAAAAACGGAAAATTTATAATTTTATTCAAATTCATTGAGCCAATTTTTATAAAATTTGAAAAAGTAGTTTATTTACTCGCACAAAATAAGCTATTGGTCTATTATTTTGGAATTCGAGTACTAAGCACAATTTTTCTGGAACAAATGAATGCAGATTTGAATCGTTTGAGTTTTTTTTATATATATAGATTTAAATACGGAACATTTTGTAAATTTAATTCTCAAAAAAAGTATATTTCTAAGCGAAAAGGAGAAAAATTGTACTATTTTTATTAGTACTTTCCACTAAGTTAGAATTTATTCTACTTTTGGTACTTTTTCTTTCTTTGTATGTTCCATAAGATGAATTCAAAACACATGATTATTAAACACTCATGGTCCTCATTGAATAAGATTCTTTAAGAGAGAACTTTTTAGTACTTTTTATCTCATAAATGGTACTTTTTGAATTTTCTAAAATATTCAACCTAGGAACATAAATTTTAACATACATGGTCTTGACTGAATAATATTCTATAAGTGGGAACTCTTTAGTACTTTTCCATTCTTCAAATGGCAATTTTTGGATTCTCTATAATGGTTAAGCGAAACACATGACACACACGGTCCTTATTATATGATAATTTATGATAATTAATGTAAATATTCTTCCATTTAAGAAATTTCTTTAATCATTTGGCCCATAAGGGCTTTGATTATAAATGAATAAATAAAATATATAAATAATTTATTGAGAGAGATTTTTGTACTTTTTCGTTTTTCCAATGGTACTTTTTGATATTTTGACGATATTGAACATAGAAATATAAAATTTAAAATGTAGGGATCTTAGTGAATGATAATCTACAGTATGAAATGAGTATGAAATTTGCACCAAAGTTAGTACTATTGGATATTAGACTTAGAGGGAGTTAATGTTGGACGTTAGACATAGAGGGGGTTAAAGATGGACATTTTGGTCATACAGGATTTTATTCAAATTAGTGTAACTTTTCACCTATTGGTCCTAGCAAAAATTGTCCAAAGGAGTTCCGATAGCTATTTCTTCATTGTTTCCATAAAAATTATTTAAAAAAAAAAAAAAAAAAGAGCTTTCGCTTTTAAAACCGGGGCTTTCTGTTTTACCAGTGTCGGTTTATTTTTTAAATGTTGATTTTTTGAATATCAAATAAACCGGTTTTTTTGCTTTGAAAAAAACGTTTCGAATACCCGGAAATATTGTTATATTATTACAAATTTATGAGTATGTTCACATGATATCTTTTAATATATGTATTTGTTTTACAATATTTAGTATTTAAAAAAATAACAAATTTTAGCGAAATACGTGCACAGTCATATAAACTTATTCAAATTTGGTTTAATAATTAAAAAATATTTCAAATAGATTTGTTAAAAAAAAAAACATATATAAATAACGTCGAAATTGCGCCACATTCAACGACTTTTGAAATTGTCTTTTTAAAGTGTACAATATTTCTTAATCATTAAAATGCATCTTCTTACTAGTTGCATAATTTTATTATTGGGTTTATTCTTCTGTGTCATGGGCGATGATGATAAATCCAATTGCATTAAAGAATGTCCATATGATTTCAAGCCAGTTTGTGCAACCATTGAAGATCTGGAAGGCCAGCCGATAGATTGTAACTTTGGAAATGATTGTAGTTTGGAAATTTTTACGTGTATGTATGGCAAGAAAGGTAAGTCGAACTATTTTTTTATTTTCATATGGAAAATATTTTAATTAATTTACTTTTTATTGTCAAAGAAACTGAAAAAAAATCGGAACCTTGCGAATCTCAGTCTCCTAAATGTAATGATGTAAGGATGAGTTTCAAAGGATCGGAAGAAGAATTGGTGTTTTAACAACATATTTTTCATAAAAATTAAGAAAATATTTTAAACTTACAAAAAAATGTAAAACAAAGTAAAAAAGTATTTTTGAAATCAATTTATAACATGTATAAAAAAGTTTTAATTAAAAAAAAAACATTTTTATTTTGTTTTTCAAATTGTATCCAAATATTTTTGAAAATTTTATAAAATAAATAACAACAAGTTAGAGTGCTATATTCGGCTATGCCGAATCTTAAATACCCTCCACCAGCTACTTTTTATTGAAACCCATCTAACTATCTAATTTTTAGATAACTTGCCAAAATTTTTCTCGAACTAATTTTGATTAGGTCCAAAAAAATGTATATTAATACGACAGTTCGAAAATATTTTAATAGAATGATGTAGCTATACACAGTATATGGGAGTTGTGACCAATTATGGACTGATCAGGAAACAATTTAGTATAATGATTTTTATGCAGAAAAAGATCATGTCTAATTCTACTTCAATAGCTTTATTAATCAATGAAATATGTGAGTTTAGGTGACTTTAGGAAGTGGACTTTATATAGGAGCTATGAGCAATTAAGGCCTATCCGGAAAAATTTCGCAGAGTGATTCATATGTGCACAAATCATATTTTATCAATATATCTTTATTTGATAATTAAATATGTGCGTTTAAAGGATTTTTTGAAGTGGACCTATTACCAAATATGGACCGATTCAGAAAAAATTTGGTACAATGTTTTATATGCCTATCCGCAAAAAATTTCGTAGAGTGATTTATGTAAAGACAAAACATATTTGTGTCGAATTTTCTCAAATTAACTTTATTTGACAATGAAATATGTGTGTTTAAGTGACTCTCAGAAATGGACCTTATATGGAAGCTATGACCAATAATGGACCGATCCGAGAAAAAAGTGGTAGAATGATTCATATGTACACAAAACTTATTCAAGTCGAATTTTACCCCTATAGCTTTAGAATTCAATGAAATATATGCGTATAAGTGATTTTCGGAAGTGGACCTTATATGGGAACTATGACCAATTATGGGCCTATTCGGGCAAAATTTCGCAGAGTAATTCATATTTGGTCAAAACATGTTTGTGTCGAATTTTATCAAGATAGCTTTATTTGATAATGAAATATGTGCTTTTAAGTGATTTTCGTAAGTGGACCTTATATGGAAGTTATGAGCAATAATGGACCGACCCGTAAAAAATTTATAAAATTATTTGTACGTACACAAAACATATTCAAGTCGAATATTATCCCGATAGCTTTATAATTCAATGAAATATATGCGTTTAAGTGATTTTCGGAAGTGGACCTTATATGGGAGCTATGACCAATTATGGACCTATGCGGAAAAAATTTCGTAGAGTGATTTATATTTCGACTAAACATATTTGAATTTCATCAAAATAGCTTTAGTTGACAATAAAATATGAGCTTTTAAATGATTTTCGGAAGTGTGCCTTATATGGGAGCTATGACCAATAATAAACCGATCCGTAAAAAATTTAGTAGAATGATTTGTATGTACACAAAACATATCCAACTCGAATTTTATCACAATAGCTTTATTCATCAATGAAGTATGTGCGTTTAGGTGATTTTCGGAAGTGGGAGCTATGACCAATTGTGGACCGACTGAGATCTACGTTGACAGTATGATTTCTGTTCATATAATATTTATATGTACAAAATTTCGTGTTGATACCGATATATTTGAGGGAGTTATTAACGATAAACTTATTTCCGGGAATATATAACTTTGTATGGGGGCTATGGGAAATATTGGATCGATTGTAAAGATTTTGAACATAATTGATCACTGCCCTGAAAAAATAATGTATGACAAAATTCATCGAAATGTCTTTGGTGGTTTCTGAGAAAACTTCAAAAGAATTATGAAAAAAACGTAAATTTTTTCGAGGTAGTCTGAAACTTTTACTCATAACTTTTTACGATGTGAACCGATTTTGCTCATTTTCAATACCAAACTGCTTAGGATAATAATAAATATTTTGGGTGAATTTGATTTATTTCCTTTGCTTAGTTTTAACGTGAGCGTGTTTTACACAGACAGACAGACAGACGGACATAGCTAAATCGACTCAGAATTTGATAAGGACCCAGAATATACATATATACTTTGTTGGGTCTTAGATGAATATTTCTTGGTGTTACACACGGAACGACAAACTTATATATACCCTCTATCACCACTGATGGTGGTGGAGGGTATAAAAAGCCCACTTAACGATTTTGAAGATTCTAACTACAATAGTTTTCCAGATTTACAATATGTTACATATGAGGGATATCAAACAAATTATTGCAAGTTCACCTGTTTTTATCTATCGCCAATTTCTATCTATCTATAAAAATTTTGAATAATATAAGAGTATCCAAGATGCACGAAATTTTGTATTTAATTCATATATGTTGTGCCAACCCACCCATTGAAAGTCCGCCCGTTATGCTCTAAATGTTCACACGAATTTCAAAGTTCTCCATGTAAAATTTGAAGATTCTAGCTGTAATAGTTTCTCAGATATACGAATTTTTCTATTTGATTCATGTGGGGGCTTCATGACCCCCCAGATGAAAGTACGCTTTTTTTCCTCCAAAATGTTCAGATAAATATTTAAGTTCTTCGTGCAAAATTTGAAGAATTTAGTTCCATTAGTTTCCCAGATAAACGAATTTTTGTATTTACTTAATATGGGAGGTGCCGCTCCCTCATGGGTAGTCCGCCAATTTATTACCCAAAATGTTTAAATCGATATAAAAGTTATTCGTGCAAAATTTGAATATTCTAACTGTAATAGTTTCCAAGATAAACGAATTTTTGTATTTAATTTATATGGGAGGTGCCACGCCCCCTAATGATATTCCACCTACTTTTTGTCCTAAATAATCATATTGACACTAAAGTTGCTCCGACAAAATTTCAGGACTCTAACTGTTATATGATCTCAAATGTACGGATTAATTATTTTCTTAATATGGGCGTGGTTCCTCGCCCACTTGGAATTTCAAAATAAAAAGTAGCATATTACCTGTTCCAGACATACAGGAATACGCTGTGAAAATTTGAAGAAAATCGGTTATTGATTTGACAACTATCCGTACATACTTTGATAACGGATGTTATTGAAAAATTATAATTATGTTTAATATACTCGTATCTCGCCAAAAAGTCTTGAAAACCTTGATAAATTTTATAATGATCGGGCCTTTTTTTTACCCTAGCCCCCGTACACATCAACTAAAATTTAGTAATTATTTATTATAAAAACGACAAATTTTAAAATTATCCTGATGTATTCATAATTGATTTTTAAAATGCATTCAAATATGTATTCACAATATTTTGCATTAAAAATTTTTACCGAAATACGTGTTCCCGCATAATCTTATACAAATTTGCCTTTATAATTGAAATATTTAAAATAGATTTGTTTTCAAAAATTCATATATAACTAACGTCGAAGTGGGCTCCATATTCAACGACTTCTGAAATTGTCTTTTTAAAGTGTACAATATTTCTTAATCAATAAAATGCATCTTTTTACTAGTTGCATTATTTTATTATTATTGGGTCTATTATTCTGTGCCATGGGCGATGATGAAAAATCCAATTGCGTTAAACCTTGTCCATTTGATTTCGAGCCAATTTGTGCAACCATTAAAGGTCCAGAAGGCAAATCGTTAGATTGTTCCTTTCCAAATGAGTGTTTTTTGGAAATTTTTACGTGTGTGTCTGACAAAAAAGGTGAGTGAAAGTATTTTTTTAATTTTTATCTGTAAATCATTTTTATTTCATTATTTATTTTATTTTTCAAGAAATTAGTAAAAAGCCGGAAATTTGTCCTTCTCCTCCACCTGAATGTGATGATTTTATCATGGGTATATTATCAAGTCTAGAATAAAGAAGTGCTTATATTAAATAATGCCAAAAAACATAATTGAATAAAGTTTTTGACGCAAAATGTATGCAATTGTGCGTTCCATAATTTATAATAGAATATCCCATAGTGCATTTAATTTGTTATATTATATATACATATTATAGATTTTTCAAATTTACTTAGTTCTAATATGGGGGACCACTATTATATTGTAAGATATAATGTTATATGAACACATTTGGAAGCATTAACCATTATTAAGGAACCATTTTCCTGTAGTACAATGATCTTTACGCTACATATGATCGTGCGCCTTTTGGAAGAAGGTGTTGTTTTTAGCGTGGCCTGAGTTCTACTGTAGTCATTGGTTGCTTATTGAGGTACTGACTGAATTTCAACAGTTGTCAGTCAAGATATTTGTAGTTTCCGTTGCCTGTTGTTTGTAACGTTCATGGATTTTTATATAATTATTAGTCCACACTAGGGTTGTCATTCGAATTATTCGAAAATAACGGACGGACTTTCAATGGGGACTTGGCAACTACCATATGAATTAAATACAAAATTTCGATTATCTGGGAAACAACTAGAACTACTTAGTTTCCTCAAATTTTGCACGAATAACTTTAATATTCACTCGAACATTTTAGAGAAAAAAGAGCGAACTATCATCTAAGGGGGTTTGGAGCCCCCTCATAAATTAAATCAAAAAATTTATATATCTGAGAAACTATTAGAGCCAGAATCTTAAAATTTTACATGAAAAAATTTTACATTCATATGAACATTTTGAGAATAATGGGAGGACTTTCAATGAGGGGCTTGGCACCTCTCATATGAATTAAATAGAAAATTTCCTAGAACTGGGAAAATGTTAGATAATTATAGATTACATTAAAATCTTAATTAACCTTCGGAAAATTGTTTCGATCTAGCAAATATTTTTTGTGTATCTCCCATTTGTAACATATTGTAGGTATATCTGGAAAACTATTGTAGTTAGAATCTTCAAAATCGTTAAGTGGGTTTTTTTATTTATATTGCTTTTAGGGTAGCAAAGCATGATAGGTAAAATATATTACCAAAATTCTATCGAATAAACTGTGGAGGTGAAATTTTGCAATATTTGGGAATTCCCAGATTATCATATTAAAAATTTACTGGATTTTTATAGTATAAAGTCCGATATTCTCAATAACAGTTACCTTTAATCCTTTAAACGCCCTAGAAACAATTAAATACCAATGTTTAAAAATTAATTACAACAGACACACAGACATTGCTTTCTCGACTCCGCTATCTATAAGGATCCAGAACGTATATACTTTATAGGGTTGCAAAATTATATTGTGGAAATTACAAACTGAATGATAAACTTATATATACCCTTCTCACGCAGGTGAAAAGTATACTAATAAAAATAAAACAAGAATTTGTGTATTAAGTATAAAAAATTAAGAATAAATTTAAATAGATATTTAAAATTTTTTGCATTTAAAAAAATTATAAATTTTAAGGAAATACGTGTCCAGTCATAATTTGCCTTTAAAATTAAAACATTTAAAATAGACGTGTGTTATATTCGGCTGTGTCGAATCTCATATACCCACCATCGTTTTACTCATATATATAAGCCAGTAATTAGCTTTAAAGTAATTTTCTGAAGGGGACCTTATATGGGGAGTAGGATCAATTATGGACCGATCCATATAGAATTTGGAAGAGAGATTTTAGCTTGTGTCGAATTTCATCGCTATACTCGTATTTTTAAGCCAGTAATGAGCTTTTTCTGAAGGGGACCTTATATGGGGGGATCGGGTAATTAATGGACCGATCCTCCAAAAAATTGGTAAAGAGCCCGCATAAAACTTATGTGTGTCGAATTTTATCGCAATATTTGTTATTATATTCCAGTAATGATCGTTATAGTAATTTTCGGAATGGGACCTTATATGGGGTTTAGGGTCAATTATGGACCGATCCTCATAAAATTTGGTAGAGAGATTTTTGGTCATATGAAACTTATGAAAACAATTATACCCGTTAAAGCTGTTTTTCGGGGGTACACTTGTATGGGGGCTATCCGAAAACGTGGACCGATATTGCCTATTTTCAATGCCAAACAAACGTGGGTCTATGACCAATATTACGATGTGTTACAAACGGAATGACAAAAACAATATACCCGCCATTTTTTTTTTTTTTTTTTATGGTGGGTATAAAAAATCATATATAACAAAGATCAAAATTGCCCCACATTCAATCACTTCTGAAATTGTCTTTTTGTCGTTGTAAACAATTTCCTAATCTTTTAAATGTATCTTCTTACTAGTTGCACAATTTTATTATTGGGTCTATTCTGCTGTGTCATGGGTGATAATGACAAAGACAAGTGCCTGAAACCTTGTCCTTTTGTTTTCAAGCCAGTTTGTGGAACCATTGAAGATCCACAAGGCAAGCCGTTAGATTGTACATTTCCAAATGATTGTTTTTTGGAAAACTTTAAGTGTCTCTATGGCAAAAAAGGTAAATAAATAGAATTATTTTTTTAATCATCTGAAAAACTTTTTTATTTATTTATTTTTTTAAGAAATTGCACAAAAATCGAAAATTTGTCAAACTTTTCCTCCTGAATGTATTGATATTGTCTTGGGTGTATTGTAAAATATAGAAGTTTGAAGTTCTTATATTAAATATGCAAAACAAAAGATTGAATAAAGTTTTTGATGTAAAATTTTTGTGATTGAACGTTCCATATTTTTTTAACAGGTTATCCCATAGTACATACATATATTAAATTTGTTATGATATGAGGGACCACTGTTGTATTGTAAGAGATAATGTTATATTAACACATTTGTAAGCATTAACCTTTATTTAGAAACCATTTTCCCGTAGGTCAATGATTACTGATGTTTACGCTATATATAATTATGCGCCAAGGTGGTGTTTCCAACATATTGAATACAGTGACCTTGATTCTACTGTAGTCATTGGTAGGTTATTGAGGTACTGATTGCACAGTTATTTCAACTTCAGTTGTATTTAGAGGGCGTCAAAGTTGGACATTTTGGTCGTACAGGGTATTTTTTTCAAATAGGTGTAACTTTTCACCTATTGGTCCTAGTAAAAATTGCACAAAGGAGTTCAGATACCTATTTCTTCTAATTTTCTAATTTTTAACAATTTTTTTTTTTTAATTGGCCCTTTTTTGCTCAATTAATAATAATACAATTTAGTCGGTTAATGGGTTACGAGTGGGATATCTATCAAAAAAAATATTTTTTAACAAAACAATAAGGATTTTTTCAATAATTGAACTCAATTTTTTCCTATTTTTTTAAAATGGTCGAGTTTATCTCTGATAGTTCCTCTTTTCCGAAGTGTTAGTGATAAACATTACATCTATTCACCAAGATTTAAGATTATTTCGACGTCATTATAAATATTTTTGTGACAGGAAACCATTGTTAGAGTGTTCTGAGGATGGCCAGTAAAAATTTTTATATAAAAAAATAACTACAACTCTAAATATTACCATTGTTCCTCCTAGTTCAACCTTTTTTTATCAGTTTCTTTCTTTATGATTAATTAAAAAATTTTACTTCCTAAATTTTCTTATTCATCAAAAAGATTATATATATTCTGGGTCCTTATAAATTCTAAGTCGATCTAGCCATGTCCGTCCGTCTGTCTGTCGAAAGAACGATAGAGTCCGAACGAGAAGAGAAGAGAAATTTTGAACAAATATTTTTTATTCATGCAATTTATTTGGTACTGAAAATAGGCTATATCGGTGAATATCAATGAAATTACACATAAACTAGATTTATATGAACCAAAATCGCTCTACCAAATGACTATAACGCTCATAACTTGCTTCAAAATGATAGAAAAGAAATTCGACACAAAAATATTTTTAGGGAAACTTAAATCTCTCTGCCAAATTTTATGGAGATCGGCCCATAATTGACCCTACCCCCCATATAAGGATCTTCTCAGAAAATTACTTTAAAGCCTACATCGGCAGAGAGTAAAAAATAAGTTCACTTACAGGTTTTTATCGTTTTTTATACATGTGCAAGCATACAAGCGTGTGAAATTAAGAGTGCAAAAAGGCTCTTAACAAAGCTCTTTGCCGATTAGGGCTTTAAAGCCTATAACTTGCTTCAAAATTCCAGTAAATGAACGAAAATCCTCTAAAACAAGTTTTAGAGGAACATATAGGGGAACAAAAATCTCTCTGCCAAATTTTATGAAGATCGGCCTATAATTGACCCTACCTTCCATATAAGATTCCTCTCAGAAAATTACTGGATTTTATAGTATAAATAACAGTAACGTTTAACCCTTTAAACCCTACATATAATTTAAAAAATAACGAAAATAAATCAAGTTAAAGTTCTATGTAAAACTTCTAAGTTCTATGAATCTTATATAACCTTCACTATGTTGGTATAAATAGAATAGCCAGTATAAAAAAATTATTACAAAAAATCAAAAACACACCAATTGTAAAACGAAAAAGTACCAGAAAGTCTCCTTATATAGATTTTCGATCAATCAGGTTGTTGCGTATGTGCATAGAAACCAAAGAGTGTACCATTCATAGAACAAAAAAGTTGAAAAAATCGTTTTCTCCAGATTTGTATTAACTTAAAAGTACCAAAAAGTCCTTTTTACATGTTCCCACTATAAATAGTTAATTTCATGTTTCTAGGGCCCCTACATACTTAATTTCATGTTTCTAGGTTTATTGTTATAGATAATTTAAGAAGGACCTTCTGAAGAACGAAAAAGTACCAAAAACTCTCCTTTTATAGGTTCTCACCTATAATCCGGGCCTTACATGCTAAATTTCATGTTTTTAGGTTCAATATTATAAAAAAATTCAGAAAGTACCTTTTGTATAACGAACAAGTATGAGTGTTATATTCGGCTATGCCGAATCTTATATACCCACCATCAAATCGTATGCTGTACTCGTATTTTTAATTCAGTCATAAGCGTAAAAGTAATTATCTGATGGGGACCTTATATGAAGGTGAGGAAAATTATGAATCGATACCCATAAAATTTTGTACATAGATTTTGTTTTGTTGGCTATGGTCAGCTATAGACCAATCCTCATAAAATTCCGAATGAAGAATTATAATAAAAAACTTTTTATAGCGAGTACTGTAACGATTCTCTGAAGAGTTGTTCTCATATTCGGGAAATATAGCTACCTTTAATAACGGCTGTGCTCGTCGGAGGGGTGGATTAATAAATTAAATCCCAAAGAAATCATTGAACCGAATACAGTAGATTTAAAATTAGGTAGCAAATTAAATAAAAAAAAAAAAAAAAAAACTAAAAGAGAACGATCAATATATATAAAACAGAAGGTGAATTAGACTTGAATAAGTGAGGGTTATAGCTTGGGATGGAATTCGCTACAACATTTCTTTACCCTCCCACCATGCTGACAGAGAATTAAGGTCTATAGTCAGCCCTTAAATAAAAACGAAATAAATATTGTCTTATTACCCCATACCAAATACTTCACTTTTCGTAATTAATAATAAACTAATTTAAGCCATTATTTTCAATTCACAACATAAATTCTATCATATTTATTAAAAGTAGAAATCAAAACAATATTAAATATTAATTAAATGTTAAATTTACCAGTGATAAATTTCAGAAGTATAGGTCACAATTAATATTAAAAAAAACAAAATTTATTAAAGATAAGATTTTATGATTCTGTTATTCTGATTTAAATAAAGAACACTTAAAAAAAAAAATATAAAGAGGAACAAAACATGTATGTAGTATGTAGGGTATTATTATTATGATGGCTCAAATGTAACATAATTTTAAATTAAATTTAGGTAATAAGTTTTATTTTGGAAAAGTTAAATATAAAATTAATATCAAATGTTAAATATTTAAATAATTATGTTACGTTTTACGTGTTATATATATATAGTGAAATAAATTGGTGAATTAATAATAAAGAAACATTTTAACTCACGTTATATAAGTCCATCGTTGTCAGCAGGCGCCCGATGACTGATGATTTGCTTAATTTTATGAGCTTTGATTCAATCAAGAGATAAATGTAGGGTTTTAAATTCTTGGGTGCGTATAAGGATTATATTACTTAAGTAATATAATCCATACGCGCTGTTGTATTGTCTTTTTTTTTCTTTTTTTTTTTTTTTTTTAAGTGTATAGTGTCATTTAAATGTAAATTTATGATTATAATTTCATATTTATAAGTCTTCTATATTAGTTTTCAGAAATTCAGATTATAAGGTGACCATACGAAGAAATTTAGTTAGTTAATTTAAACAATGAGAATAAAGAATATTTAAGAAATAATAATAAAGAAATTAAAATTAAGTAATTTACGTTAGTTTATAAATTTAATGTTAAAAAAAAAAATTAGAAATTTAATAACTTAATAAAAATTGTCATAATAAAAAAAATTTTTTTTTTTTTTTTTCTTTTTTACTGCGGATTTAATGAAAAGCAATCAGATGGAAATACCAAAATCGGAATTAGATATTAATTAGTTCATCAAAATGTACAATTTATCGTCTGATTCGTCTATTAGTTTGATTTATTTAGGAAGAATGACCACCAACGAATTGTGGACAATAAAATTCAATTCCCGTATGCACCATATAAGTAAACAAAACTATGTATCTGGTCACCCTGATTCGACCAGAAATGTGTAATGATGTAACACTCTTGTTGTTCCTAACAATTTCAAAATTTTAAGCTTCTCTATGATTCTGACGAGTAATATATCTTTTTCAGCGTATTATATGTTCGTTCTTGATATTCATTAATCGGTTTCTGGTTCGTATTCGCCAATAAATTATATGAAAACCGTCAATCACATTCAGAACAAACGTTAGATCGTCTGCAATGTCTAGTTTTACAAATTTCCGTTCAAAATGTTCCTTAATATTTCCTTTTCTCCTATATTATTCAAACAATATTCTGGTTTTATTTTTCTCTCTCTAATAATCAACCGTCTCAACCAAAATTTATTTTTTTAAAATGAAAATTTTTGAAAACGTCATGAAAATTATCTAAAGCAATGTCAAGGCTAACTTTGTAAATTTTGAAACAATTTTCGAATTGTAATAAATAAACAAAAATAATACACCTAAAGAAAATATTAATGAACTATTAAAATATTCTATCCAATTTTCAAATTAAAACACAATTCAAATAAAATTGTCGCTACCACAAAGTAGATTAAAATCAAAGCATGCTGAAGAATTTAATCTAAACAAAGGCGACAAAATGTTATGACAGAATCAGGTCCATATGTCTTTCATATGATAAACACCAATGTGACCGCCATCGATATCCTCGAGCTCATAGTTAACATTGCCAAGTTTTCTCTTTACTACTGCTCTAACTCCAACTGGTGCTAGTTTGGCATTAAAGTAATTCACTAATGAACTCTGAGCAAAATTACGATGTATTACTTCCTGTCCAATGATAAATTCTCTTTTTCGAGACCTCAAGTTATAGGATTTTGTATTTTTCTCATAAGCATCCCTAATTCGCGTTTGAATAGAGTCCCGTAAAATCGTAAAGCTGTCTTGTCGTTCGATTTGAGTATCAGAATCTGCCAAAAGTTTAAGGTTACGGAGAATTTTGTAGTCATGTCCATGGTTGATCATATTCTGTCCGAAAAGAAGTTCATAAGGTGTTCGTCCAGTCGTCTGATGAACACTATT